TGACGGGCAATTCCATTGTTCTTTGGTAAAAAGTAGCCCAAGAGCTGACGGTGGGTGGTGTTGACTAGCTGACTTCCCTCTAGTCTACCACTGCTAAATTAGGGACGGCTGGCGCAGATAGCCCTCGAATAGCTTTGCACGGAATTCGAAACAAACGAACACACAGCACAGATAGCTCGTTGTGTCGCTTTGTGCTTAGAAATCAAGCAAACAAACAAACAAGGTTTCGTTTTGATTCAATCAAAATTAAACAACCTAAACAGGGATATTACTAGCGTCATCTATTGACGTTTGTAGGAAGCTTGGAGTTACTAAATGCATGGATAAATATTTTAAGAAAACGTAGAATTTGATATACAAAACTTATCCAAATCTAACTTTAGTCCTACACACATATAGAAATAAAAAATCCCTAAAGATGAATCACAAAAGTATAAGCAAAAGTAAAAAGAATTGTTTGATGAAATAAAAGTCGGCGTGACTGGTAAAGAAAATTTTGTAACTGACAAAATGGACTTTTAAGATGCTCCGTGAATTATTAGGCTTACACATTGACGAGACCAGTGGAATTCAGTACAAGTCAAGCTCTTCACACGGTTTAAAGCTATACAGTTGTACTAAGTGGATACTTTCTTCCCTCCACCTGTCAGCAGTTCTAGTTTAAGGATGACTATGCCTGAACTTTAGACGGTCTTTAACCTGGTTTAGCCCATTCTGACGCATAAGGTGTAGTTCAGGCTTAAAACACCAACTTCTTGTACTTTTAATTGATTTGAAGTTAACTCAGTCGTAAAGAATAATCATAAACAATAGGTTGAAGCTAGTTTACATTATCAAATTAAAGAATTTCTGATCAAACCCGTAAAAATATAAACTGAGATAATACAAAATAACATAACCATTAAGGAAGATAATCCAACATAGCAAACTGTCTAGAAATAGTTAATGTCATAAGTCAGGACACTGGAGGAATAAAACTTATAATGATTGCATTGCATCAACGGTTAAGTTTTCTCACTGTTAAAGACATTTTCGGCCATAATTCCAAAAATGTCAGCTTAGAATATCTAGATTAATTGTCATTTTACATTAGAAGTTAATATAGTGCAAGATCATCATTATAAGTGTAATTATAATTCGAAACATAATTTAAAATTATTTTCAACCAATAAGATGAAATTCAGTAGCTAAAGATTAATATAATAGTTTAATAGTTACAAATACACTTAGTTGTGCAATTAAAACAAATCTGACAGAATACTCAAACTAAAAGTTGAGTAACCTACATTTTAAAGGAATGTAATTACTCTAGGTTGAGTAACCTACGTCTTAATGAAGTTTAATAACATCAGGTTGAGTAGTCTACATCTTAATGAAGTTTAATAACATCAGGTTGAGTAGTCTACATCTTAATGAAGTTTAATAACATCAGGTTGAGTAGTCTACATCTTAATGAAGTTTAATAACATCAGGTTGAGTAGTCTACATCTTAATGAAGTTTAATAACATCAGGTTGAGTAGTCTACATCTTAATGAAGTTTAATAACACCAGGTTGAGTAGTCTACATCTTAGTGGAGTTTAATGACTCCAGTTTGAGAAGCCTACATCTTAATGAATTTTAATGACACCTTATTGCGTAGCCTACATCTTAATGGAGTGTAATTACCCCAGGCTGAGTAACCAGCATCTTATGTAGTTCATTGAGTTATAGGTTGAGTAGTTTACAATCTTAATGGAGTTTAATGACTCCAAGTTGAGTAGCTTACATCGCAATGGAATTTGCTGACTCCAAGTTTAGGTATGAACTACCAAGACTACTTGTCAACAAGATCCAGTGTCTCCAGATTTTGTAATGTGTCACACAATCAGGTTAATGGAGAGGTGTGTTGATCACCCTAAATCAGTACTTCTAAGGACATAAACGTCCATTTTCTCCAATCACTAAAGTATGGTTTTCCATAAATCATGAGTACTTTCTTTTCATGCACGATTCTCGATCGATTACCGATTCTAAGAGATGTAAAAAAAACAAAAAAATTCGGCAAATTTGACGATCGCTTTGGCAGCAGTCATTTAAATAACCAATAATAAGAGATCTTATTTCCAGTTTATCGTTATTTTTGACTGTTTTCATAATTAAAATTAAATTTCATTTACTTCTAAGGAAAAGAGTACCTCGGCTCGGAAACTAAACAAAGAACAACAACTATTTTCTGACAAAAAAAAAATTATATTTTTCTTCTTTTGTACCCTAAAATGTTTTGCGATAAGTCTGCAGGCTTACGACACTGAAAAATAGGGTTTCGATACCCGTGGTGGGCAGAGCACAAATAGCCCATTGTGTAGTTTTCTGCTTAACAAAAATCTAACTACAGTTACATCTTTTCCTGACTTACACAAACATAAAGATGCGGTTAGAAAATGTACTAAAGAAATGTTACTTTGAGCTTTTTTTAAACTTAATCAAATCTTAAGCACCTTTACTGAAGAACTCGGTAGTTTGTGTTACCACAGTAACACTGATAACATTTTTTTAAATCAATAGATCTTTCTTTTCTAGCCCAAAAGAGTAGCCCAAGAGTTGGCAGTAAGCGGTGATGACCAGCTGTCTTCGCTCTAGTCTTACACCGTAAAATTAGGGACGGCTAGCGCAGACAGCCCTCGTGTAGCTTTGCGCGAAATTCAGAACAAACAAACAAACAACACTTCTCGAACATCGACAATAATCAGCTGACTGAATTAGTGAATATCAGTCACTTTATCCCATCTTCAAAGCAATTTATCATCATGTCATCTTTTTATTGATAATCCCCGTCCCACCAAATATGCTCTCCCTTTCAGTCGTGGGGGCGTTATAAAGTAACGGTCAATCCCACTATTCGTTGGTAAAAGTGTAGCCCAAGAGTGTAGCAGCTAGTCATTACCACCCACCGCCAGCTCTTGGGCTACTATTTTACCAACGAATAGTGGGATTGACCGTAACTTTATAACGCCCACGCGGCTGAAAGGGCGAGCATGTTTGGTGTGACGGGGATTCCAACCCTCGACCCGCAGATTGTGAGTCGAGCCACCTAACCCTGGCCATGCCGGGCCTGGTTTGTTACGAAAATTTGGATTAATTAACCTATAGGTTACTTTTTTTAGTTCTGACTGATATATCTAGTTAAGTTAAGACCACAAACATCTGTACCCTCGAAATGTTGTTTTTCTTGGTGCACAGCTACGCACTGGCCACCGGAGGGAATCGAACCCGGATTTTAGTATTGTAAGTCCGCTGAACCACTGAAATTACAACGTAACAGTTTAACATTTTTAAATATAGTAGTTTATGTATGTTTTCCATCAAAGTAACAAAACACGAGGATATGAATGACCTCTGACGTAAAGATCACGTGACCTGTTTTCAGATGGGGGGGGTACAACTAATCTATATAAATAAACGTCAATAAGTGTGTGGATCTGTTCCTTATACGTTTCTACATATTTCTTGATCAATCAGCACCAAACTTCACATAGTGATACAGGATTGCATGCATGAGGGGGTTGGAGCTCCGCATTTAATTTCATATTGATAGAATTTCTAAAAGCAGTATGTCTTTATTTTCAGTATTGGTACATTTATGTATTTTAATTGCACCTTTAATGTTTATTACGTGAAGAAGAAAAAAATAGTAACACAATTTCCTATCCTTTGTTTCAAACGAGTTTTTATTTCACCCGTCCAATTGACGGGTACTCCAAGTAGTAATTCTATAAAGATACTGCACTTTAAGTCTTTTCAGTAATCTTAATTCACACAAATTTTTAAAATCATAAAAACACAACTCCAATTTAGCATCCCTAGAAGGAAAGCAGTTAGTCATCATCACCCACCGCCAACTCTTGGGCTACTCTTTTTCCAACGAATAATGGGATTGACCATCACATTATAACACCCCCACAGCTGAAATGGCAAGCATGTTTGGTAGGATGGAGATTCGAACCCGCGACCCTCAGATTGCGAGTCAAGCGCCCTAACCACCTGGCCATGCCGGGGCCCCACATGAAAGTTAACCTTGCTAACGAAAGAGATATCTCGATGGTTGTTCCAATTGAGGACAGGAGATGGCGAGTTTACTATTAAGTACCATATGTGTCATACCACAGTATTTTAAAAGACCTGGTATCTATTCCAGAGGCGGTTGTAGATGGGATCGTCCAGCTCCTTGAAGAAATATCATTGCGTCAATTATATTATAAAAATAAGTGCTAAAATAAGTTTCAAAAATGGTAGAAATTATATATATCTCTTTATTTCAAATGGTTAAAAACGGTGTTTCGCACTTTAAAATGTCTACGTCAATTTTAGGCTAACAATTTCCGACATGTTGCCAGTAACCGATTGAACGTGAAATATAAAATAGGCCGCTCTGCATATAGAACATCTATTTTGAGAGTGTGGTGAACGAGGGAGGTGTATGTAGATTTCGCTTTGTTCACTTAGCAGTGAAAGACTAGAGGGAAAGCAGTTAGTCATCACCACCCACCGCCAACTCTTGGGCAACTCTTTTACCAACGATTGACCATTATTAGTCTTTAGACTTCATTCCGTGATTAACGTAATTTTCTGCAGTTTAAGAACTTAAATTAATTGAACTTAATTAATCAAACACTGTTGCTTTCTATCATCTACGATGCGTTGGCGGCACACCCCCCTTCCGCGCGTGCGACGCTCAGCCTCCCCACACATGCTAAAACCAACCCTGTCGTTCCTACATTCATAAAAAATCTGGGATCTGCCACAATTAATTTGATGTCAATCGTCTCTTAGTGATTTTCCTTGGTATTTGAAATAAAACTGATAATATAGACTGTGTGAAATTAAAAATAACTAATTATTGTTACACAGGGTTTATAATTATAATTAAGCTATGAACACCAGTGTTGTACAGCATTAATTTTCTGTAATATTAAGGAAGGAAATGGGACGACAAAAATAAGTTCTACGTGTAGCATTTATTACACATATGTACAGACAAAATACATAATACAAAATAGGTCTATTAGCATAGGTAACGAATATAACAATTTGCTAGGTGTTAAGGAAGGAACGCCTTGATTGGTTGACCTACGTGGACCCACAGAACTGAGGATTACATTCTTCTTACGACTGCTACTGAAGCGCCACCAAGCAGATTAAACAGACATATCATGTTTATTAAATAATAAAATGTTAATAATGGGCAGGATGATGAGCCCCTGCAGAAGCGTAGACAGGGGTGGCAGGATAGAGAGGAACAGCGGCATGTGGGGCAGGGTGGCCATAACCCCTAACGGGAACATCGTGCTTTATAGGGACAGGGTCAGCATAAACACTGACGTCAGCAGGGTTCTGGTTGGCGGTGCCAGGCTCGTTGGTCTTGATATTAGCCCGGAAACCGTATTCATCAGCAACGTACTCCACCTGACGGCTAATACCATAAGCATCAGTGTAACCATAGGAACCTTGCTTGTTTCCATAGCCATCACCTTGTTCTTGTTGCCACTGACGGTCTCCATAGTGATTCTGCGTATCGTAGCCGAAGTTGTATGGGATGGGCTGATACTAAATTTCCAAAATATAAAAAAAAGTATTTAACGAAATATCTTGAAATATCCCAGAAACACAGTGTATTAGAATGTTACCAGACAAAAATAAAATAAATTAAACTCAATTGTGATTGAATAGTTATATATATATATATATATATATATATATATATATATATGTATATATATATTG